GTTGAGGGGCTTTCACCCAGCCCTTAGGGCCTGGCACTTTGAACTTGGACTTAAAGCCTTCAAATTGTAAGAATAAACTCCTGTTTGTTAAGACCATCCCATGTGTGGTATATTTCTTGTCAGAACGGCACTAGGTAACCAGAACAATACCCAATCCTGCAATAACAGTAATAACAATAATATACAAGTGGATACACAGATGGACATTCAAGCCAAGTGTGGGAAGTCATATTGGACCACACCTACATGTCTATATCTATATATCTATATATGTTTCACAGAGGATATTTCTTTTTCTTTTTTTTTTTATTGTGATTTAGGTGAAAATTTACAGAGCAAATTCATTTTCCATACAGTAGTTCACATACACTTTGTCTCATGACATTGACTACAATTTACCACAATGCAACAACTCCCCTCCCACTTTCTCCCAATAGTTATCTCTTCCCTGTGTCCATCCCTCCATGCACTCCTGCCCCCTGAGCTGTTTCCCTGTGCATAAACACCCCTTTTCTCACATGACTGTTCTCTTCAAGGAGTGTAAATGTTCAATTCATATGCCTGTCTTTTGTTTGGCTGGAAGCCATAGGTGTGGGTTCAATTCCAGACCTAATGGGCAGCTAGGGGCCATAGTCTCAGTGATCCCACCAAGCTCTATCAGACCAGCAAACCTGGTCCCTCACAGAGGATATTTCTACATATGTATTTATATGTGCTGCAAATATATCCATGAATATAGTAGACCACACAGGGGGCACAATTATGAAGACTTCTTAGCCATAACCAAACACCCTGATGAAATGAGCTCCTGAGCCTGGGGGGCTCAGGACCATAGTTTTGGGGGATGTGCAGGTCTACTGGTATAACATTGTCCACAAAGACAATGTATACACCCTACTCTGGTGAGTAATGACTGGGGTCTTAAAAGCTTGTGAACGGGCATCATCATTAGCCATCAGAGAGATGCAAATCAAAACAACAATGAGAAAGCATCTCTCCCCAGCACCAGGGTATGAAGAGATTGGAACCCTCATACACTGCTGGTGGGACTGTAAAATGGTTCAACCACTATGGAAAATGGTATGGCACTTCCTTAGAAAGTTGGAAATAGAAATACCATATGATCCAGCAATCTCACTACTAGTATATCCTAGAGAAATAAGAGCTGTGACACAAACAGATATATATACACCCATGTTTACTGCAACACTACTCACAAAAAGATGGAAACAACCTAAATGCCCATCAATGGAGGAATAAGTCAACAAACTATGTATGGCACATACACACAATGGAATACTACACAACATTAAGGAACAACAATGACTCTGAAACATCTCATAGCATGGATGAACTTAAAGGCCATTATGCTGAGTGAAATTAGTCAATCAGAAAAGGACAAATATTCTATGAGACCACTATTGTGAAGAGTTAAGAAAAGGGTTTCAGAACAAAAGAAATATTCTTTGATGGTTACCAGGGGTGGGTGGGGAAGAGAGGGTAAACCACTAACTAGAGAGTAGACACATTTTAACTTGGGTGAAGGGAAATGTTAAAAAAAATAGTTTAAAAAATTGTGAGTGGCCATCTAAGGT